TCTGTCCCACGGAGGTCCTCGGAGCCCCCAAACCCTGTGCTGCCACAGCCCAGCTGAGAACACCAGTCAGAGTAGCAGGAAGAGGTGGGGAGGGCCAGAGGATGCTCTGCCACTTGGGAAACAGGGATTCCCAGGTCACAACCCAGCCTGGCAGTCCCTGGCAGACTGAGTAGTAGGGACAGATGGAACAAGCCCCGTCCTGGTGGCATGGGACAGGGATTTCCAGCCAGCCCACAGTGGGACCAGTAAGGACAAAGCCTATGGTGCTTCTGGCAACTAAAAGACATGAGTCAACCTGCTGGGAAACTCCACTGCAGCTGGGGACCCCTGGAAGGGTACAGCCAGAGGGCCCTTACCTGTCTCCATGAGGGGCTCCTTCTGCTCCATCATGTGGGAGCCAAAACTGAAGTCATCATAGTCAATCCCATCCAGGCACTAGTTGATGGGAGGGAAGGTGAGTGTGATGAGCGCGTTGGCGCTGGAATCCCCCAACTACCCTGGGTGGGTGATGGCAGTCTGGCACAGAATCCCATCGGGGCAGGCACAGATCCCTGTCCCTCCCCGGGAAGAGAGGCAGGTGCAGACCCCTGAGTGCCCACCCTGGAGGCTGACACAGACCCTCCCACCTCCCACTCCGGAAGCAGGCACGGACCCCCACCTCCCACCCCACCCGTGGGGTCGGGCACTGCCCCTGCCCAGCTCCGGGGCCGGGGCCAGGCAGCGACACCGCCCCGGGCCGATCCGATCCGATCCGTGCCGCACTCACGGGCTGGAACTGCTCGTCCATGTCGGCGCGGGGCCGGCCGCCGGCCTGTGGGGAGAGGGGGTAGAGCGGGGCTGCAGGAAGGCAGCGCCGCTCCGGAAAGTCCCTAGAAACCCCGCCGAGCCGGGAAATGACGGGCCCGCGCGTCACCGCCCCGCCCCGCCCGCGCGGCCGGGGCACGGCGGCCCGGCCCGGGGCACGGCCGGGGCACGCGGAGCGCGGGGCTCGGCCCGGCCCGGCCCGGCCCGGCCCGGCACGGCACGGGGCTCTGCTCGGGGCTCTGCTCGGCCCGGGGCTCTGCTCGGCCCGGCTGCTCTGCGCCCGCCGGCGGCCGCTCGGGGCAGCAGGACGGGCCGTCCCCTCCTCGCCTGGGAATTTTGGACTCGGAGCCCCGGGCGGGCTGGAAATCCCGGAGCATTCCCGCCCGCCTCCCCCGGCCCTTCTCGCCCGGGCGCTGTGCCGTATTTTCCGCTCGAGAGTAGGGAGGGTTGGCCCCACACCGTCCCCGGCCGCCTGTCCCGCTACGGGTGCCAGTCCCCGCTGCGCGGTCATGAGCCCTTCCCCAGCACGACCTGCAGTGCAGCACGGCTGGAACCGCCCGCCCGCGCCGTAACACCCCGCAGAAACCCCTGCGTCCCCCAAGATCCCCACCCACAGCATCCCATCCTGCACGGGGATGTGTCTCCCGCACCGGGATGTCGTCTCCAAGCCCCTATGGACTCAAACAGGAGTTGCCCCAAAGTGCCGTCCCCATGCCCACTGGCTCCCCTCTGGCCAAGGGAATCTCTCCAGGACTCTGCAGAGTCAGCAGCCCCTTGCCAGGCACCCAAAAGGGTGCTTTCCCTCTGCCCAATTTCAATTTACACAGCAGCCCCTGCATCCTACCCGCGGAGGTGGCCGGAGAGAGGCATTCACTACCCGTGCTCCCATTGCCTCCTTCCCACTGGCTTCAAAGTGGAAGCGGCAGCCCCAGAGCTCCCCGTAGAAGCATCTCCCACCGCCCCAGCACTCAGCACTGGATACTTCCCGCAGCAAGGCACTGCCAGGGGCACACAACGCTCACAACCTCCTACTCACCGGGGAGGAAGAGGCTGGTCTCAGCAACCCGTTCAGCCCCAGCATCGCCATAGGGACTGCCAGTACCACAGGCAGGCGTTCTGCTGGGGTCAGCTCTGCCTGACCACAGAAAACCGGCGACTTCTAGCAAAGGCGCAGGATCAGGAGAGACCCTACGGGCATGCTCCACATTTCTTCTCACTAACCAATGAAAAGAAAAAAAAAAAATCCCGTATCTTACTCCACAATGCCCTCATACCATGAATTTCTGAATCAGTGGTTGCTGCAGGTCCCACTCAGGGGATTTTGAGTGTGTGGGAGAAGAGGGGAAGGAAGGGGATTGTTCAATCCGTGCGTGACTCATATTCTTCAGAAGCTGAACAGAGCCTTTTCAAGGAGATTTTTCAGCCACTCAAGTCTTCTAAAGGGACTGTCCTGTGACCTCAAGCCTGAGGTTTTTCCCGGTTGGCCTGTCATACGCACAGAGATGCATCCCAGGATCTGTGGGATCTGCAAGTGCAGGGGAGGGTGCAAGGAAGGGGAAGGGGGAGATCCAGCACTGCAAAATGAGGTGGGGACCTTCCTCCTGTCATTCTACAGGGGCTTCTGAAGGCCTAGGAACATGGACACAACCCCATGCTGGTCTGTGGGAAGCAGCACAGACTGCCTGCTGTTGGGATACCACAGACCATCCCACCTGGACAGCTTCAGTCTGCCACCACCAGTCAGCAACCCTATCTGCTGGGCAGATCTTCCAGAGAGGTGAACAAAGGGACAAACAACCTTCCTCAGTGTGCTGGGAACAGCCACTTACCCTACCCACTGAGCCTGGTGGGGGAGTCCAGGCCTGAAGCTGCTGGATGAGAACAGACTATGCCCCTCGAATAGCACAACTCCCCTTCTCCAGTGGCATCAGCTCCATCTCCTCTTGAGGGGTTTTCACAGCTCACTCACACTGCTGCCCAGGACACTTCCACTAGTTGCAGCAAACAGCGTGACTAAAGAATGTCATGGAATTGTACCTGCATCTCCCCATCCCACACAGCTCTGTCTCTCTCTGGATTGCCAGCTATTTCCCTGCACTCTTGTGCAGTGTGTGCTGGAGGAAGCCCACCTTGCTTGCTGAGCAGAGATGGTGTCACCACCTGCTTCCTTCTTCCTGGAAAAACAACCTCAGGCAACCTCAGACCTGCTCTCAAGGTGAAGTCCTGCCTCCTGTGCCAAGCAGCATGCCTTTCTGGCCTCCAGGACTTGGGGTTTCCCCTAGGAGTGCAGTGTATGCAGCTTTTATCCCCCACACATGCCAGAAGGGAACACATCTCTCCTTCCTCCAACAGGAGCATCCCCTGCTCTGTCTTCCCAATACATTTGCCCTGGATCATGGGTTTGAACTGCAGACCCCATTCACTTGGCTAATTCCTCCCCATCTTCACACATTCCTAGGGTTCAGGAAGGATTCTCTGGGTGTTGCTGTGAATGGGGGAAGAGAGCAGCAATCCAGCTGCAAGGCACTTCCCAGAGCAGCATCAGCTCCCTGCCCTGGAGTGCAGCACTGCCACAGCACCCTTGCCAGATGGGACAGCCTTCCTGCGCCAGCCAGAGTGCTTCAATTAAGGGCCAGCCTTTGGCAAGCAGTGAGAGTTAATGCCAGTATTCCATGCCTGCAGCTCCTTGAACAGTGACCTAGTAATGCAGGTGCTATTTTCTTTCCTCCCATGACAGTCGGCTGACTTGCAGAGCTGATGCCCTGCAGGCAGGAGGGAAACATACGTCAGCCTTTCTGAGGCAGGAGTGTTTAGTAGCCATGGGAAAGGGTGCTCCAGAAATGCAGGAGACAGCATGAGTACAGCTCTGCTCTGAACTGCACTGGTGTACAGCTGACATGTTCCAGCCACTCAGCTGGCCGCTCCTCTAACATACTCTTCCCTTCCCATTTTGATTTCCCTTGGGTCTGCTAACACCTGCAAACAATAGCCCTAAATGCTTGGCCTTGGTTTCTGCACAAATCCTGTGCTTTGCTCCATCGCTGGAGTCCCAACAGCTACTGGCAAGAGGCTGCTGAGTCTCTCTCATATTATGTTCACAGTGACTTTGCTCTGAGACCCTTCCTGACCAAGTCCTTGACCAGCAAGTATGACAGAGAGAAATCCCCTCTCTCTGAAAGCTTTCTAAGCCTTCTCCTCCTGACAGCCTGCCTTTGAGCACTGAAGCAGTTTGTCCATCTCTGCATTAAATGCCTTTACTCATATTGTGGCTATCAAGTTGGTTGTGGCAAACCCCAGCCACCCACTGATCTGGTTTTCTCTTCTGAGGGCCTGTAAATCATCTCCTCTGCTGTTATGAACTATTAATCCAGCTCTATGCCCTTAGAGAACCCCTATGCCAGCATCAACCCCGCTTTTGCTTTCACTCTCTCGATTCCACTGTACCCACAGTACCACTGCCGTGTTGGTGCTCAAGGCTCCATGTGGGCTACAGCTTGCCGAGTCTGCGGGCACAGGCTGATTCCCCTCGGAGCGGGCAGAGGCCAGCCCTGCTCCAGCGCAGGCAAGGCTCAGGACGCAAGAGGGAGAGCTACAGGATGGGGCAGAACCCACTGGCAACACAGCAAAGAGGGAACTTCCCCAGCGGCAGGGAAAAGGGTGCAACCGCCAGCGCTGGGACTTTGCTGTCCCCTCTCCCCTCCAAGAGAGCAACTCTCTCCTACCGGGATCTTCCCAACACCCCCACCCCAGCCAACCAAGGACCGGAGTAGCACTGGAGCGAGAGCGAGCCCAGGACCCTTCCGCTGGGACGGGCAGCCCAAGCACAGGGATTTTCAGCCTCTGGCCCGCTCCATCCCTTTCCCTGGGAAGCGTTCTCCCCCCGGCACCCCCGGCCCCGCACCGGCCGCTTACCTCCTTCCCCGCCGCGGCACCGGGAAAGTCCCGACCCGGCTCCGCCTCCCGGGGCTTCCCGGACCCGGCTCCGCCCGGCGGAAACAGCGGGAGGGCGGGCATGGGGACCCCCGAAGGGACGGGCAGCTCCACACTGCGGCATTCCGGCGACACCGCCCATCCCACCTGGCTGGCACCCGGTCAGCGAACCGGGCCCCGGGCTCACGGCTGAACTCCGAGGGCGGGGACAGGACCCTTCACCCCGTTCCCAAGGCCAGCTGCTACTCCAGCGGGGAAGGACCATGGCTGATTTTCACTTTTATTATTGTAAATTCACTGTCGTCTTTATATATACTTTTTAAAAAATATATTAGATACAAAAGTCAGAAAGGCTCCTCTTCGAACTACATATACTGGCGGATTTACAGACCGGTTTGGAAAAGGTGGGCAAATAGGAAAGCCCAACTTGATCAATGCGCACAGCAGCAGCAACAGTAAATGCCCCTCTCCAGGGACAAGGGGATTTTATATATATATATATATGTATGTATGTATATATATATATATATATTTGTAGATCTATGCATACACACACAGCACTCACACCCCTCGACACCTCAACCCCTGCCCAGGACAGCCCAGGCTGCACCTCAGCCCAAGGATGCTGTGACTGAGGGATTAGCTCCTGCAAGGCAGGCATTGGCCAAGGCACCAGAGGACGGATTTGGGAGTCCCAGAAGAATGGGGCACACGCTTCCTCTGATCCTATAGAAGTGCTTCCCTTTTCCATGGCTTCACTCCCTGGGACAGCTTCAGCTGGCAGCGGCACAGAGCAGAAGTCCCCTGCTCAGCAGGCACAGTGCCTGCAGGACATCCCCTGCATGATGGTAGATTTGGAGACTCACTTCCCAAACTAGCTGGAAGCAGGGAAATGCTGTGACCAGGGAGGTGAAACCTGCCTCAGGAACTCTCAAAGCTGAAAAAATGTGGGAAAAGCCATGACTGATGGCATAAAAGGCCCTGAGCAGTGAGAGCCCTGGCGCAGGGTGGGGGGGCTGGGTCAGCACAGTCCAGCTGGGGCTGCTGGTGTCATCCTGCAGCAGTGAGACACCATCCCCACCTGGGAAGGCAGGCAGGGAGAGACGCCCTGCTGCCATCCTCACTGGGGGTGCAGACAGCCCAGCGGTGCAGCCACTTCCCAAGAAAGGGAAAAGGCACTCTGGCTCCTCTGACAGTCACAGTAGCCAGCTGAAAGGCTTGCTTACCCCTGTGGAGGAGGGAAGAATAGAGAACTCTCCCCCTTCCAGCACACCAGGCTTGTGTGGTGAAGGGAGGGTGAGCCCCCTGTTCCCCCACGTCCCTTACAGGAGGAAGCCTCAGGATGATTGCCTTCAGCAGCCCGACTCAGACCAGGCTACCCCAAAGGCTCAGGGGCAGATCCTGGCTCTGCTGATAGCACCAGGTTGGCATCCCCACACCCCAGCAGTGACCCCAAACCCTGTGGGCAGGGAGAGTTCAGCTCTTGCAGGGGCAGCAGGTGCCAGAGGAGCACTGGACACAGCTCCTGCTGAGAGTGGAAGGCACCGCAGGTCCACAAGCACACACACACACAAACACACATACACACACACACACAAAAACAGCAGCGGGGTTTTCAGAGATATTCAAGGTGGGGAGTCACTGGCAGAGCCCAGTTTGGGGTCTCCTCTACGGGCTGCAGCCTGTGGGGGTCAGGCCATAGCCAGGCCCTCCACATGGCTGTGGATGTGGGCCGTACTGGACAGGCTGCTCTCGCCTTTGTAACTCTTGGGGGCCCGGCTGGCTTTCAGCAGGACCAGGAAGGTGTCTGTGGAGATGGCCCCAAACTCAAAGGTGAACGTGCCGTAGAAAACCAGAACATCAATGATGAACATCCACTCACACAAGGCAGCCACGTGCTGCAGCACGAAGCTCTCCTGGATGAAGAACACGCCACCTGAGGGTATCCCAGTCAAGGATAGTACAGCTGAACGCCAACCACCCTGTGGAGGACCATGTCCCACTGTTATTGCATGCTGGGGTGGACGTGAGTACCCATCCTCTGCAGGAAACACACCACCACTCCTAACACTGAGAAACACCCATGTGCTTCTCCCAGCACCAGAAGGGCCCTGGCACAGGTGAAGCCATGGCACACATGCCCAAACCAGCCTTGGTAAATCATGGCACTGACACCAGGCTGGGATTATCTGAAGAGGCCAGGGCAGGAGGAGCTCAGGCTGCAGGTGTCAGTGCAAGCCAGGTGCCCAGATACTCAACTTCCCCACACTACTTGTCTCTTCCTCAAGCCAGGCTGGTGGCCCCCATCCTCTCACAGGATGCAGTCAAAGATTATAAAACTCAACCTTTGAAACAGGTTTTGAACTGTTGCATCCCAGTCCTGCAGCACCTCCTGTCCTGTGCTGCAGGCTGGCCCACCCCAGAGAGGAGGCCCGCTCCCACTTCTCCAGATCCTACCACTACCAGAATTTCTTTATCCTTCTCTCATCCCCACCAAAAATATCCAGGGAAATCTATTGCAAGAGTGGGTGAGGGGAGGAGGCACATTCCCTAGCCCTCCAGGTGAAGCTTCCAGCAGTACCATGCCCTCTGCAAATGAGACCAAGATCTGGGAGAGCTGCAGAAGCAGGGGCCTGACCTGTACAGTGCAGAGCTCTCTGTTCCCTCCCCCCCACCCCATCAGGAAAGATCCCAGCCCTTTCCCTACACTGTCCACACCACAGCTCACTGCTTGCCCATTTCAGGTTCCACAGCTTACAGAGCAGAATGGCCACAGCAGATGGGCACCAGTCCTGTCTTCCTTGTCCTTACATGCCCTTCCTGTCCCTCCCAGCTGGCATGGTCCTGCAGCAGTCCTGCCTTTCCCAGCTCCCTGCCTGCTTCCCAGACTGCCTGCCTGCTGTGGCGATAGAGCAGGACCCTGTGACATGTGACAGGCCTGCCAGCACTCCCAGGCTCCTCTCATGCGGCTCACCTCAGCCAGACCCCAGCCAGCCCCTTTGGGATCCATGGACACTGCATGCTTTTTCCCCTTCCTGCCCAATAACCACTACCTTGTTTCCCAATTTATCCCCAGCCTCAGTCCCAAACAAGATCCTCACTCCCCAGCCACACACTTGGGACCATTCTTTGAGCTCCAGCCAATCTGATGCCATGCCCTCCCTCCGTGGTAAAGTGTTTGCAGACCCCAGAACCTGCTCACCAAACTCCTCCTTGTCCCATGGGCAGGCTGGCTGGTGAGTGCCCAGCAGTTCTGGCTGACAGAGGTGCTGCCATGCATCCACCTGGCACCTGCACACAGCGCTTTTGTACTCAGCTTCGGTCAGAGGGGTAACCCCGATGGACTTTGCATTGCCAAGGGCTCAGAATATCTTTGTCCCATTTAAAAAGCCCAACAATTAAGCAGACCTAGGTGGTGTGTGGCTGGAGCCTGCAGTGGTGGCTGGGCTGCAGCAGCCAGGGCACGGCTGGTTTGGGGCATGCCAGCACCCCAAGAGACACCCACCAGCACCCCTTCCCCTCCTCAGCCCCTGCCCAGCCCTGGTACTGCTGCTCCTCCAGCCTACACCTGCAGTGAGCTGCTCACCCTCAGTGCCCTGCCCAGCCCCTCTCCTGGCACCACGCCTCATTGTCAGACCAAAGGACAGAGAACAGGATACTGAAGACGAGGGTGAAGAAGGCCACAGTGGTGAGGATGCTACGTAAGTGGCCGGTCCAGTACTGCCCTCGGGTTTTAGCCATGCGGTAGGTGAGGATGGACTGCAGGAGCAGGAACAGCATGCTGGTGGGAAAGGCCACCCCCGCCCCAATGTAGTGTAGCACCTTGGCGTGATCCACCTGTGGGGAAGAAACCGTCAGTGCCAACACCCTGGGACACTGCCTATCACGCTGTGACTGCTCCAGGAGTTGTACTCCTGCCCAGGAAGGGGTGCAGACAGTGCTGGGAGCAGGTCCAGGCAGCTCACCCTGTGCCTGACTCCTGGCTGAAAAGCAGACTTGGATCCACCATCTACTGCTGGGATCTCAAAGAGCTCTGTTCCTTTTATCCATGGGCCAGCAGCCCTGCTGTGCCCAGAGGCAGGGGCTGCCCTCTGCCCTGAGCAACATCAGGACTGCCTGCACCCCTCCTGAGGGTCACAGCCCAGCACTGCTCACCACGGCTGGGCCACAAGGGGGATCAGGGCTGGAGTGGGCAGCTGCCGGAGGCCGGTGCCTGGCAGAGCAGGCAGGGGCTGAGCACTGCCGTGTGCTGCCAAGCCTGGGCCCGCTCCGCTCCTTGTGAGCACAGGCTCTGCCCCGACAGTTTCCTGGCTTCACCCCCTGGGCAGGATCAGGAGCAGCTTGAACAGCGTGTCCCTGCCCCTGCACATGCCATTGGAGAGGACAGACAGTGCAGAGGGGGCTCAGGTAAGGGTTTAACCAAACCCAGCAGCTTAATGTGGACTTGAACTATGAATGCACAAAGAGGACAGCCAGCACCCTGGGAAGCACAGCACTGACTCAGGGGAAGGATTGCATGGATGGGACGCTGGACCAAACCAGACCCTACCCTGCTGAGCACAGCCACTGCCCCACTCCAGCCAAGGCCTCTCCTGCCCCCCTACCCAGGGACTCCTGAGGTGATGCCTTACCTGGAAGTTGCCAACCATGGTGAGGCCAGCAGCGCAGACCCAGCCAGTGGCCAGCCCCAGGGTGTTGAGGAGGGACGGCCCCAGGCGCTCCAGGAGGTGGGCATAGCGCAGCAGGCCCACCAGGATGACTGCGGGAGGGAAACACAGCCCTGTCACGCCACTGCCTGCGGCCCCCCTCATCCCACTGCTGCCCCATGCCAGGGGGGCTGCAGGGCAGCCTCTCCCAGCCCTGCTTCCCCAGCAGCAGGCACTCACCCATGAAGGATCCCAGGCTGCAGATGAGGCTGAAGAAGCAGCTCTCGGGAGGCAGGGTGCCACACTTGCTGTGGGGACAAGCAAGACCCACGGAGCACTCAGACAGAGGGCACTGAGATGTGTGCTTGGCTGTCCCTGCAGGACACCCTCTTGGGTTGCCCTGGAGGGGTCTTAGAGCAGCTCTACCTGTGTCCCCACCCTGAGGCTGCTCACCTGACCAGGGGGATGTGATCCAGTGTGCAGCAGGAGCTGGGGCCGTCCATGTCACACGACTGGTTATAACTCCTGCCAGCACCAAAGGAACAGGTTAGGAGAGCTGAGATGCTGCCCAGGACCCTCCTGTCTCCTGCCCTGCAAGGGCAGGTGAGTTGCTGCTGAGTGCAGCCCAAACCCAGGGTGCCCACAACCTCCAGGGAGTGACCCACTGCTCAACAGGTAGAATCCTGTCTGTGTTTCCACAGCCTGCTCCCTGCCTGCTGGCTCTGCTGCTCACCCCGACCTCCAGCCCGTGAGGGACAGACCATGGCAGGGCAGAGGCTGTGAGGGCCAGGGTGTGGGCTCAGGGGGTTCTAGCAGCCCCACACAGGACCAGGCGCACCCACCTGCCAGCCCCCCACATATTCCCGGGATGGAAGCACCAGCGAAGCCGGGCACAGATCCATTGACAGCTCCAGGTTTGCAGGGGATGGGCTGGAATGCTGAGCTGTGTATGCTCCCACCGCGGGGGTTCATGTGCCCTCACCCTCACAGCTGTCCCAGGAGCTGACACACACTGGAAGTGGGTTTTTGGGTGCCCCTTTGCTGCAGCATCGCCCAGGCATCCAGCACTCCTGCCTGGCACGGCCTAGTGGGACCCCTGCTCACACCACAGGCGGTGAGTGCAAAGTCCTCTGCCCCAAAGGGCCTCTTCAGACACCCCAAGTCCCACAAGTGCAGGGGGCTGAGGGGGGACAGTGCTGTGGGGGGAGCTGTGGGGGAACAGTGCTGCCCTGTCCCTCGCCCAGGCTGTCCATCCACCACCTCCAGCTATGCAGCAAGCACATGGTTAAAAAAGCCTTTTTGGAAAGGGCTGGGCTGGGCTCTGATGTTTTTTCAGTCTCCTCAGTTTACTGGTGGCTTTGTTTTCCAACCACTAAACCCAGGCGAGGCGTGGAGCCCCACGGCCTCCTCAAAGGCTGCTCTTGGGGCCATGTTTGGTTTGGGAGGGTTTTTTTTATTATTATTTTGTTTAAAGCAAGCAGCCCAAGGCCGGGAAGCATTATTCGTCATTAAGGGCTGGCTGTGCGGCAGAGACAACCCAACACACACATTCTTCCCAGGGCAGAATCGGCCGTCAGGCAGGAAATGGCAGCAGGGTTTTTTTTTTTTTTCACTTCTTCAAACACTTCAAGAATTAAACTAACATGGATCTTTCTGGGCAGATTTTTAAGGCGATGCTACAAGCCAAAAACCCTGCAGAAGGTGCTGCCAAGAGACCAAACAGTGTTTCTTTTTCCAGCCCTTGTCTCTTCCATGCCTCATCCCCCATCTGGGGGTGTTACAGGCAGTTCTTCCCATGGGGTGTCTGGGTGCTGCAGGACCATCCCATCCCCCTGGCACTGCCAGATTTAGCCTCAAGCAAGCAAGTCACAACCTTTTCCATGGAGACACATAGCCCTCTGTAATTCCCTGACCACTTATTTTCATACTTTCTCCATGCTGTGTTTTTTCAAAGGCCTCCTTCTCCCCGCCTGGTTTGCAGCGAGGCTGGACTGTTCACCAGAGTAACCATTAGCACAGACGAGCCTGAGCAGGGGAGGGAAGGCAGCCCAGCCCTGGCAGCAGCTCGACCCCAAGCCGTTCCGCTCCCAAAAGCCACTCAGCTGGGCAGGAGGCACGTGCCCTGTGGCATTTGCACCCCAACACCACCCCGTCTGCTGGGGAAGAAGGTAGCTCTGTGCCCCTTTAATGCTCCCACCATCCCCAACCCCCCTTAGCACAGTCATGGTGCAGGGAGTGCCTCAGCAACCCAGTGGTCTGACACAGACTGGCATGCTTCAAGTGGGACAGGTATGGAGGGACTTGGCATTAGGAGGTCTTTAATCAAGCCAGGATGTGCCAAAAAGCCCCTGCTTCCCCGCAGGCCTTACCAGTTGTGGACAGGGCAGATGTGGTTGTTGGACAGTGCCATGGCATATCTAAAGGAGAGACAATAACAGGGTTACCACAGCCACCCGCCTCCCTGCATCCCCATTCCCTGCCAGCACCCAGAGCAGCCCAGGGACTAGCCTCCAGAGCAGAGGATACAGGCCCTTACTGCCTACCAGGGGCCAGCACTCATCCAGCACCTCCCAGCTTTCCAAAGAAGGAAAAAAAAAAACAAGTGCATGCTCCACAGAACTCCCACTGTTGGGATGAGGCTCCCCTGCTTTGTACCCCCATTCCTGCTGAGAGCCACCTCCTGCTCATGCTGCTGTGCTCCACGGGCTCTGGGGAACTGCTCTGTCACAAAGCCTCCCTGGCATGCCCCTGGCATCGGGGCTCTCCACCAGCCCACAGCTGTGCTGGGTGACACCCGATGGTGCTGGCTCTGCCGTGCTTTCCCCAGCCCCTGGCTGGCCAGCAATGGAGCTAAAGGAAGTCTGGAAAAGCAGCCAGTGCGTTGGGAGGGCATTATGGGGAGATCAGCTCCATCAAGCATTTCACTGCAGTCACCCTCAGTGACCTCAGTCACTGTAGCAAGGGGTTCATGACATGCATCCTGCTCCACTCCATGGGGTCTCAGCCCCATGGCCCCCACCCCAGCCATGGAGGAGCCCTCCTGCCGGGCAGCCACAGCAGTGGGCACCCTGTTGTTCAAAGCACTGGCAGCTGTGAACAGCTCAGGTTAAAAATAGGCCCCAACACCATATGAAAACCCCTCTCCTTCCCAAGCTGGCTGTGTAACAGCTGGGCTGCAAAAATGATGATCCCAGAACAGAGGCAAAGAGCAGGACAGATGGGGGAAACCAAGGAACAACACCCCCAGCCACCAAGGGAGCCCTTACCGAGCCATCTCCCAGCACGGGTCTCCAAAAGGGCCACTCCCAGGGTAGCTCAGACTGTGAGGATCATAAGCAGCAACTCCCACCTGTGCTGCTTTGGTCTGGAGGGACATCTGCCCCCCAGGATCACTCACGGGAGACAGCCATGCTTTGCAAGGTGTCCGAGGGAAAAACTTGCAGCATAAGTTCCTAGCACCAGGTTCAACATTTGGTTTGTCGTGAAGTTGGACAGATGATACCTCAGGGGGAAGCTCTTAGAGGAACCTGCATGCATGTGGGATGCATTTGCTCCATCCCACTCCTCAGGAAGTCCCATCACCTATATTGAACCTCTTGATACCTCTGAGAAAAGTCCTTCATCCACTGCTCACCAGTGTTAAGGCCTGAGAAATGGACTACTGGGATGGACTACTACTGTTCACCCAAGTGACACAGCCTCTACTCCTAGCACAAGGCCTGCCCATCCATCCATCCATCCATCCATCCATCCATCCATCCATCCATCCATCCATCCATCCATCCATGGGATGGGTGCCCATATACGGGCTGTAGCCTTGATGCTGCAGTAGCTGGGCTGGTGGCGTGGTTCCCAGCACCGTTCCTGTGCCACCTGAGCGCCAGCCTTACTCACGCTGGGACAGGGGCGCGGATTCCACGGGGTGTCAGGGATTTAAGGACAGGGAGGCACATGCCAGTGCAGCTGCAGGGGAAGCGAGGACCACGCAGGGCGGCTGTGGGGGTTCAGGGATGTGTGTGAGCCCTTGAGTGTCCAGAAGTGCCCCAACATGACCGGGGAGAGCAGCTCCCCGCAACCCCCAGCCCGCTGCATCCCACCTCGCAGCATCCCACTCTAAAGCATCCTCCAGCCCCCGGCCCTCAGTTATCCCGCAGCACCCGGCCCGGGCCCCGGCCCCAGTTCCCGTCCGTGGGGGGCTGGCGGCGACCCCGCGGCACTCACACGATCCACATGCCGGTGATGGTGAAGGCAGGCAGCGTGACGGGCAGGATCCCCCAGGCCGGCATCCTGGGGCCGGGCATGCCCCGCCGGGCTATGGGCGAGCGGGGCCGCCGGGCCGCCGCCGGGCCGCGCTCCCCATGGGCGATGGGGCCGGGGCCGGGCTGGCGGGCGGAGCGGAGCGGGTCCGGCCGTGCGGAGCGGCGCCGGGACGGCCCAGGCCGGCCCCGCCCCGGGCGGCGCGGGTCCCGCTCGGCGGCAGGGCCGGGCCCGCCCCGTCCGGCGGCGGTGGCGGCGGGGAGCGGGACGGGCCCGCGCGGCCCCGGCGCCACGTGGCGGCCGCGCTGCCGCCCGGGGAGCGGAGCGGTGCTGGGGCGGGCAGCAGGACGGCCGAGCCGCAGCCGCAGCGAGGGACAGGCTCCCGCAGAGCGCAGGGGAGGGCAGGCACAGCTCCGCAGCGAACGCTTCCCGGGAGCTGGGGACCCGAACAGCTTTTGCCGAGGCTGCCTCGGGCATCGACAGCCGGCTGCAGGGCTGCGGGCCTCACCTCCCTCAGCTCCAGGTGATGCTCTCTCTGAACACCGGCCCGGGGCGCACAGCCACAAAAGTGTGGGCTCCTGTAAGCGTGGCCCAAAGGGCACTGTCAAAGGACGAGACGGGAGGTACTGCGACAGGGAGGGGCCAGGCAGAGAAACCTTGTTCAGTTCACTCTTCTTCCATGGGACTCAGCATTCCCTCCAGAGGACGAGGCTCTGCACGCCGGCAGTGACTGGCCTTGTGCTCTCACTACATGGCTGCAGCCACACTGCCGGACAGTGCCTGCACACGCTCCCGGACCCGCTTCCCAGACGCTGTCTACAACTAGGGATTAAGTTTAGCAGCCAAGCAGACAAGCACCAAGCAGACAAGCACCAAGTAGCAACCCTGCTACCGAGAGAAATTTCCACTTTTCTTACACTGAAAACGTGAGGAAAGGAAGCACAGCTTCCCTTGGCAGAGAAGCAGTGCTGTGGTAAGGCCATGGCCGTTCCATTTCCCTATTGGGAACTCAGCAATAACTTGCCCTCTTGCCCCCGGCTGCTTGTGGGGATGTGTTTCAAGTCCCAAGACATCCTCCGTCGCCAAGGTCGAGAACGGAGCATCTGGTGCTCATAAAGCCTGCACTTTCCCTCTGCCTTCTGCAGAGAGGAGCAGCCCGGGTACCGCTCTGAGCCTGGCCGGTGCGGGACACAAGCCCTGGCTGCCCACCACCGCCCCCGGGCCGGGGTGCTGGTTACACAGCCGCAGGGGCAGGACTGCACACTGGGACTTGTAGTCTTGGGGGAATCTGATCGTCCTCTGCGTTGAATCGCGCTCCAAGCAGCCTCCTCACGGGCCCAGGGTCCCTTCTCGCTGTTCAGCCCATCAGTTCGGAGCGAGAGCTGCACTCCACAACTTCGCTCCCGAGCCGGTTGTGCTCCCCAGAGGTGCCCCGAGCATTCCCGGCCGGCAGCAGGCCCGGCCCTCCCTCTCCCGGCAGCCTCCACAGCGCAGGGACAGCGGGACAGTGGGACTGTGGGACAGTGCCCGCCGCGCCGGGGCTGCCGCCTCGGGCCGCCGTGCGGGGCTCGGAGCACAAGCCCCGCCGGGCTGCCTTCTGTGCAGCTGGGCCGAAAATGCCGGGCATCAGTGGCTTCAGAACACATCACCCTCTGTAACAGGCATACCTTTTCCCAGAGGAGTTCAACAGCTGGCATTTATAGGACTGAGGGTAAGTTCTTTAAAAGCCAGCTCATTGTTGATACATCCTGGAAATCTTTATTACAGACCTTTGCTGCTCAGACCCAATTTTTAAATTGGAACTGAAAGCAGCAGTGCTTCTGTTTCACAAGTTTCAGTGCCAACTGTAAGTTTACTGTCAGGTCTTATAATTCCATAAGACTTCTCACACTAGTAATCTTCTTACCAATAAGGAAAGCACCAGCTCCACAGTAAAGTGTTCTATCCCACATATTTCTATTCTGTTTTAGCACTAGAAATCCTTGATGCAAATGGGAACAGAAGAGGTAGGTAAATTCAAAACACAGTGATGTCTGTTCAGCCTCCTCTGGAAAATACTTAGGCCCTGAGTAAAAATGAGAATAGAGTCCAAGACTAGGAAAAGTATATGCTAGGACAAATCTAAGGGCTACGGTTGTAAACACCACTTCTCACCAGCAGCCATTAGTAGTATCACTGGCTTTTATGCAATTAAACCCACAAATAGAGTTCAAGAAACGTACTGATTAACCTGTCAGATAGCACATGCTACCTATCAGTAGATTCCAATCTCCTTTCAGTGCAAGACTTTCCCTGATATTTTTTTTCTCTCTAACATTAAACCTCACTCTTGCAAAATTCAAACAACATTCAAAAATTCTTTTTCTGGTTTTCCAGTCCATTCCTATTTACAGTCTTGTGAAAACTGTTTAAAGTGCAATTCTGTCTTTCCAGTCAACATTCCTTCCATTCTAGTCCCACTTCTTGCAGTTCTCTCAGGTGGCCTTTGCTTTGGACCATAATTGTCTGAGTTAAGACATAATGCTCTCAGTAGAAGCTGGGTTTGTAAACACAGCGTGTGTTAAAACACAGCATATGCCCAAAACAGCTATTGGAAGGCAGCTGGCAAAATGGAGCTTTGCTGTTAGCTGATACCACCCCAAAAAGTCAGACGATCACCTCAGCCTCTGGGATCAGAGGCAGCAGTCCTGACATCAAGGTACTTGACAACTGAGCAATGGTTTACAAAGAGTTAATAATCTAAAGCTTTCAACAAGCAGAAAAACAGAGCTGTAAATAGAAGTGAAGGCTCAGAAAGACAAGACAGAGAGGGGGACTGGATACAGAAGCACATCATGAGCAGCACAAGGACTCAAATACATTAATGAAAACATCTGACGGCTGGAAAGATGTTTTCATACAGGCAGTGGAGGGTGAGGAAGAGACAGCTGCAGCAGGGAAAATATTCCAGGAATGGTACAAATGGGGTTAGGGAACCAGGATTTATTACCAGGACTTTCCTAGTATGCACATTACTCTTCCATTATGCAATATTTAGACCTTTTCTCATGCAATTTAAACAAACTCCCAAGTTTTGACCCCCTTACAGTCTGTAAGAGTCTCTTGGAATAGAGAAGGCACTGGTGCCTCACACAGCTCTGAGGACACTGTGGCACTGCATGGATCTTGTCATGAACAAACTAGAAAATACCAGGAGGGAAGTGTAGTTGTTCAAGTCCGTGGCAAGCACTAGCTCTGGAAGAGCCCAGCATCTCTCACACCCTCTCCAATTCTGAGTCCTGTTCATGGAAACAAGGATTTCTTCTTACTCAGAGAATCACCGATGTCAGCTGAGTTCTATGTTCTGGCACCATGACCAGATGAGTAGAGTAGAGCACCTGCTCCTCAGCCCTCATCTCTGCCCTCAGTCCTGGTGGTGCAGGAGCATACATCAATGTAACACCACAAATTTTACAGCCCACATGAAACTATTGCCATCTGAAAGAGCCAATCTCACTATTACAGCTCTGCTTTGTCCATGCTGGAAACCATTCCTGATTAGTTCCTTGATGGCTAACCTCCATTGCAGCCCCCCACCCCAAGCTGACAAGTCCCCCTGTGCTCCCTCCAGATGGAGCACTGGTATATGAAGCCAGGGCACAACACCTTGACAAGCAAACTCCCCTTTTCCCAAAGCTCTGAGCCAAAGTTCCATGACAGAAAACAAGTGCAACACCAGAACATTCATTTACAGGATGTATTTATTACACTGTAAAAAGTCCATTGTATTTTAGCCATTTACTCTGTATGTACACTGGTTGTACTCCCACACCAACTGTAGGCTCCTCTCCTTACAGGATACACTGGGTTGGAGTCCCAGCCATGCCCCTCCCAGTCACCAGGGGGATTTCCAAGATTGAAACTATTGAGAATTTAGCCAACTAGTCGAGGGAGGAGGAGGAGGAGGAGGAACAGCAATGCAGCACTTGCCAGGCAGCCAGCTCTGCTCTGGACATGAGCAGGGGAAGAGCGGGATGTCCTTGCGGCAAGATGGAAGCACAAGAATCACTGCCAGGGCCTCAGCTGCAGGGGCCTTCTGGGGGTTGAAGGACATGGCATCCCAACAAGGAGATACAGAAGGGTGCAATCTCTTCTTAGCTTTCAAGAGAAACCACTGCAGACCTGCTGAGCATCTGTCAGCAGGTGCCACAGATCCCCATATCTGTAGGTGAAGAGGATGTTCTCCTAAGGAAGGAGCTGGTCACCCAGAGACCATTGTGTAGTGAGTGGCAAACAATACATGATTGCCCCACAAGTGCTGTGTGAGACATGGCCATGGTGCTCTGCTCTAAGCATTTCCTTCTCAACTACTCAGCTAGGCAGAGCCTTCTGGATTTGCCTTCTCCAACCAGAAAGGCTGATTACATTTACAGGAGCAGGGATGAAAGCCCCTATCAGATTTGCCTGCTACTTAATCTCTATTTGGCCTGGGGATTGCTGTCATTCGTGCTGCAGGAAGGAAAGCATGTACCAGCAGGCAAGAAGTCCTACGTAGCGATCTGAGAGCTGCACTGTAAGCAATCCACATTTCTAATAAAATTCTCTACCTGCTGAACCCAGGCATGCTCAGATCCCAAACAAAGCAGTACAACCAGAAGAGTCAGCAGGATAGCTAGGGAATGGCTGGGAATTGCCCAGGGACTGGACTCAGTAATCTTGAGAAGCAGTCCTGTACTGCAGCCCCTCCTCTGGTGTGACATCAGTAAGTTTTCCCTCTTTACCAGATGAACTGGTGGCAGCTTGGTCCCAGGCTGCTGGGCACAGGCATTGCCTGACACCTGAGATTGCAAAGGCAGGAAGGAGACTGGTCAGTGGAACTGGGCACTCCTCCAAGAAGACAGGGATTTTTGGGCAAATTTCTAGGTGATGCCACAAGAAGGGAGCAGGACGGGACATGCTCCAGAGGACTGTGGCAACAGCCCTTCTGCTCAGGTTAGCATCATCTTTTAAAACAAACATGTCCACTACCAGAGAACATTTGGCCAGCATCCTCCACCCATATTGCCCCCTCAGCAGACAGTTCCCAGCATCTTCCAACTAATTGACTTCAGAGCTTGTCATAGGGTCAGTGGGCCGTGGAGTAGCTAAGAGGGGAACAGGAGAGGTGGCTTCAATTAGGGCTGGGTTGAGAATGATT